CCATTTTGATTAATGTCATATTTTCCTGAATATAATCGGAAACGTGGACATTTTCCGTTATATTTCAGTTAGATTTTCACTTTTCAATAAAATTAATAATAATATTATCCGTTTCCCTACAAGGAAATATTTGGCATTTATTGACCGAGCAGCCAGTACTTTTTTCATTTGTAATTTATAAAATCTTTCTCTGAAAAGATTTTTTTTAGTAAAATAGGTTTCTCGAGTCCATTAGCTGTTATACCTCTTTCAAATATTGACGGGGGTTTTCTTTCTAAGCGTTTATCTGAAGTAGTGTGAAACATCAACATCTTGATCATGTTATTATTATAAAGGCAGCTTTAAGAAAGTTCTATCCTAAATAAACATGGTGACTCCTGGCAGACGCTGTGTCTTACAATATGAGTCTGCGTCATAGCACAGAAGCAGCAAAATCCACACAATGGCTGCCAGACAATTTCTCTTATCTAATCAACCCCTAGATCTGGCCACCTAACTCCCCAGACTGTACCATCTTGATTATTATGTGTCGGGCGCAGTTGAGTGAGAGACGAACAAAATTCTTTGTAACACCAAGGATGAACTGGAGGCAAGGTGTAGCAGTATTCACTGACTTAAACAAGGAGACCATCCAGAAAATTTGCAGATTTCAAAATTGTCTGGAGGTCTTGGTTGAAGACAATGGCGATTTCAATGAATAAATTTACTCTTTAGTATTACAAGATAATTTTACGTAATTTTGTAAGTATATCTGTTAAAATGAAATGTCAGGATTATTTTCATTTTTGCGTAATTTAGATGACAGTTTATCCGTCGTAACCTGTATTGTGACCATTTCGATTAAACTAAAATTTTCCGACATTTTCAGTGGACTTTTTAAGTATCATTTTTGTTTATTTACAAGAAAAAAAAAACAGTCCCTACATGAGTGATCGTTTCGAAATACCAAAAGATATCAGCTTGTATCTACGAAAATTTCCATGGATAATGATTCAGAATTGTTAATCGGAAAACAGAGTTCAAATTTCGGTTTGGTTCGTTATATTCAATTATTGGGAAAGTAATGAATTTACTTATTCTCCCCTGATATGGGTTAATTAGTAAGATTTGTACCACTAAATCATTATTATCTCATAAAGAATATTCTTACAGTGTAAAAACATTTTCTGGCTTTAAATAACATGCTAACTATTGGTAATCCGTCGAAAACGAATCAATTTTCAAAATTTGTCGGCTTGCAGTCGTATCACGTTGAAACACCGGCTCTTGTCCAATCACCGTTCATCCAATCTATTTATCTATCTTTGTTTATTATCTATCTGTCTGTCTGTCTATCTATCTATTTACCTAATTCTATCTATTGATCTATCTATCTATCTATCTATCTATCTAATTCTCTTTTTTATTATCTATCTATCTAATTGTCTTTGTTTATTATCTATCTGTATCTATATATAATATATATTTGTCTATTATCTATGTCCATTATATTATCTATCTATCTATCTATCTATCTATCTATCTATCTATCTATCTATCTATGTTCATTATCTATCTCTCTATGTTCATTATCTATGTCCATTATATTATCCATCTATCTATATTTGTTCGTTATCAATCTATCAATCAATTAATGTATTTATAATTGTTCCTTATTTACCTGTATATATATATGTGTGTGTGTGAGAGAGAGAGAGAGAGTGAGTGAGAGTGAGTGAGTATGTGTACTTTTCTTAACTTCTGTGATCGTACCGGAAGTGGTGTTTCAGCTTGATATGGTCGTAAGCTGACCATTTCCATAAAAAAATGGCATGTACTTTCTATCAGAAAATGACTTTTCTGACATTTTTTCAGTGAAAATTTTATTTTAATAATTATATTTTAAATATATAGAAAATAGGAGCCACTTAAAACTCGTATCAAACTACAAAAGAAATTTGAGAAACCGACTTTTAGTTGCCTTAGTACTTGCAGTAATTACAGGTCATACTGCACCTCTCTTACGCCGTCATGAGGGCTATTTCTAGTCCCAATTCTCCGAGACGAGAGAACACCATAATGTCGAAATTAATTCCCGTAGGCCAGGGTTTAAATATCCTATAATTTACCATATTTCTCCTCTAAGGAACTCACCGTTTCCAATATTGAGAGAAACAACAGCAAAGCATTATCTAATTTGGCAGATATTCAACTGGAACTTTGTGGTCCCTTCGTGAATTGGTACATTCTAAGACGGCAGGGAGACGACACTAAGCAAGGTTGGTTGATGTTTATTCATCAGGAACGTCATTTTCGAAATTTCCACACCGCGTACAGGCTGGTTTTGGCAAAGTATCTCAACATGCAGACTACAAAATTACTACTTGTTACAACATCGGCCCCTTCCAAAACTAATATCAGTACTAAAAGTAATAATATAGGGTCGAGATAAGGGAGAAGCTAATGGCGCTCTAGAAAGAAGACTTGGGGAATATTTTGAAAATTGGAAGCGATCATGAGATATGTGTGCGAAATGTCAATGGGATTACCTTGAATTCTTCGAAATGGGCGTTGTCTCGAATAGCCTTTATTTTTGTTTCTCTACTTTTCGAAGATATTAGATGCATAATGAATAGATATAAAGAGATAATTACCATAGATAGATAGATAGATAGATAATAAACAGAGATATAGAGAAATAAAGAATATATATAATGGAATATGTATACACCTGTGTTCTCCTTCACTGGAATATGATTGGCTGGTGTCCGTCATAAATACCGACGGACGTGTAGGTATGATAGAGTCAGAAAGCCTTAGTCTAAGAGCTAAGTCTATAACGACGCCCATTGGAATACGCCATTGATCTACAGTTATTAACCTGCGACTACGACGCGTACCAGTCGATTACTGCTACCGTATTCTACTTGGTTATAGTAGCCAAAACCACTTAGCTAATTTGTTCAAATATATCCCTTTCCGGAATGTATCAGTTAGCGACGAGATTCGTAACGACCTCACAAGTTAAAACAAAAGAAAAAAATACAGTCGACAACGGGTACTAACGAAGAACGTTAGAAAAACTTGTTCAACGCTTCCCCCCCTCTTGTTTGGAATAAGAATTTTATTGTTTATTGTAGCAGAATTGTTTTCTGGTGAATACGTTGGCACAATTGGCATAGATAGATAGATAGATAGATAGATAGATAGATAGATAGATAGATTTTTCATAGCCGTTTTGATATCAGTCGAAGAGTGCTATCTTTATAGAAGGACTAGCAGCATGGCCTAGCGTTCCCCGTGCTTGATTCAAAAATCGTACGACTCATACAGCAATCGCTATCACTTGACTTAAAATATTTTTACCCTTCCTTGCCTTTAAAGGAGTGCCCTTTGCCGTGCTGATGTTGCTACATACCTTACTTTTTGCCTATCTCATACTGCGAATTTTTCTAAGCTCTATACTAAACATTAAATCTGTTACGAAAAAGAACTAAACAAAATGAACACAAAACGATCAGATTTAAAAAAGGACTCGTAACTGGAAAAACCGAATGAAAAAAAAATGTTAACAACAAATACTTTTTCACACCAAATACTTTTTCACTGCGGAATCAGAATCAACGTTGAGTTTAAGCAAGCGAATGAGCCAATTGGAGTAAAGTGCCATACAGATTTAAATTTTTCCCACTTCTGACGAATGCAGTTATCGATTTTTTTTTTGCATGCTATCATGCTAGTTAACATTTGTGTCAGTCAGCTGTTGGCTCTCACGCTGGCCAATAGAATCTTCCTGCCTCTTCGTGGCAGCCAGCTAGAAGCTCTCACTCTGGTCAGTAGAAAATGGCCGCAAACTACATGAAAACCGCCGTAGAATCATGAAAAAATCGATTATTTCCACTATCGATGGAAGTTGGGAAATGTAAAGTCGTTGTCTTTCCCGCTAACTTGGAGCATGTGCATGTAAATTTTGGTGCAAATCTGTCGAAAATTGCGGCCGTGCATTCGTTACATACACACACACGCATATCCTGCCTTTTATAGATAGAGATGCCCAGTCAAGTTTGAAGTGATATAGCGATATCTCTGCCTATATTGTCAAGCAAATATCTTTATATCAGTCAAAGGCGAACTGTGTGTAGTTTAGCAATTAAGTAGTCGTAGCCCGTCAGACCTATAAGCGTTTTCTCTTCGCCATCGACACGAGACTTGAGACATGAGAGTCTCAATAGGTGTTAAAATGTTAGTGATTCTCGTGCAGAGAATTCGAGTCGTGTAATGTTTTTAAAACCCCCAGGACTTACACCAACAATGCTAATAATCCCAGAGAGAGTCATATGTGCAATATTCAGAAAAGCGCAAAGGTGAATGTTATTTAAGTGTTTTCCTTTCCTTTAGACAGCTTCTGTCGTATGATAGCTCGCTCAAAAGATACACTAGGATGCTTCGTGAAGCAAACCTTAAAATAGTCTCTATTTGTTCATCTTCTTTTCCAGAAGAACATGTGTTAACCACCATATTCCCTAGTTTGACAGGCATTGGAAAGACGAATTTCAGATAGAACAACAATATTAACAGGACGACGGAACAAGTGTGGTTCTTCAAACAGGAAAATGAGCGAATCGAGGTATCAACGAGCGATCATACACACCAACAAAAGATGCTAAGTTTGGGTTTAATTTTGATAGTTTTCGTTCGAGTCCTTTATCTGGCAACTGCAAACGAGCTAAGCTGGCCAGATTTAATTAGTGTGGGAGGAGAAGTTTAGTCCAACTTTTTTCGTGCTCTCCAGATATTTGATGAGGCGAGCTATGAATAAATAGGAATTCTTAATTCCCCCCATCCACTGGGGCAACAACATTTTACATAGATACATGATGATTGCAACATCTTACTAAGATGAAAATCGCCCCATCACACCGAGCATGATTCGTGATTGTGTTTCATCGTACATGGCCTCTACGATGATTCTTGAGGCTATCATTTGATTTCAGAGGTATAAGTCATATATATCTGATAGTTTATCCTATATATATATATATATATATATATATATAGATAGATAGATAGATAGATAGATAGATAGATAATGAACAATTATAGATAGATAGATAGATAGATAGATAGATAGATGAGATGGGATAGATAGATAATGGATGAACTGAATGAGATAGATAGATAGATAGATAGATAGATAGATAGATAGATAGATAATGAACAATTATAGATAGATAGATAGATAGATAGATAGATAGATAGATAGATAGATAGATAAGGAACTATATGAGACAGAAATAGCTATTAGTAAATGACTCAAGTATTTTAGGATATAAATAATAAAAAGTCAAATTCCCCACTGATATTTGGCAATTTATAGATAGATAGATAGATAGATAGATAGATAGATAGATAGATGATGAACTAAACGAGATAGATAGATAGATAGATAGATAAGGAACCATATGAGACAAACATAGAGATAGCTATTAGTAAATGATTCAAGTATTCTATGATATAAATAATAAAATTCCCCACCGATATTTGGCAATCAATTTATCTCAGCAAATATTAAGTTTAAAGTATAAAAATACCGCCAGTTATTGATATCGATAAGTAATATTTTATTTTTCTTTAGTTTTCACCCACTTTTCTGATCAATAAGTCTGTTCACTGTCAAATAGTTTCCAATGTATCGATCGTAGCAGAGGGACAAAGATAAACTTGATGAGTTTCATCTGTATTTCATTCTCTGAAAATGTTATCCTCTAAAACTTATACGGGTTTAAAAAGTGTGGGTGGGTCGTTGTGAGCGCCCGAGTGTGCAAAGTGCGTTCTTCGGCCCCAGGAAATGAAAACCCTTTTAAGTAAAATTTATTTTTCCTCCAAGCTCTCTTTTTTGGTTTCTCGAACTCTATTCTTCTCCGCCTGTCGCTCTCACCACACACAACACTTTGCACCAATATTTATGAATATTTAAAATGAATGTTTTAATGGCAAGACAAAAACAAACACTCCGACTCACACATATACACGCACGCGTGTAAATACTCAAACACACACACAAGAGCGGACACACGAATACAAATACACACACATATATTTATAATTTGTTTTGTTTAAACCTTATTTTTTTTATTTTTGGTGCATACTCATATTTAACAGATAGATAGATAGATAGATAGATAGATAGGTAAGTCCTAAGTTCTGCATTTTTTCTTTTCTTTTCTTTTTTTTTTTTTCTAAATAAACAGTATTTTTTATCTAACTACATCTACCGGCCTGAATATTAAAGAAATCTTGTGCGAAAAATGTGCTTCCTTCGGCTAGATTCAAACATGCCTCACATATGGGGAGCCGTTATTTCATCTGACGTGCCTAACCGCTCGGCCACGTAAAACTTATGGTCGAACAAAGTCCGAATTGAGCCTTTTCGTACACACACTCTCTGCCGATTCTCGAAACATCCATACCTACTCTGTATCTTGAATGTCAACAAAAACAATTTATTTTTTGAAAATGAATTAAATGTGACATATAGATTTTTTTTAATTTCCTTTCTTTAAACGTTATTTTTGATGGGTACTCATACTCAGGTGTCTGTGTTTTCTTTTTTTTAAATTAGAAGAACCATATTTCTTAACCTCATTGAACTTACCGATCTTTTGCTCAATGGTAAATGTCACAACATATTTGGGGTAAACATTAATTAATAACAGCTGTTTAATATTCTTTAACTTAGCGTCCCATCTGTAATCAAAACATAATATCAAAGCACTATGAGTAGGGGTCCTAGTAAGATTAATTTTCCTGGATCTGGGTTCAAATGAATCCCAAGTTAACTAAAGGTCAGAAAAATTGGGTTTACGATAAACACTGGTAAGAAAACCTACAAAATACTTCGTCCTGCAAGCAACAAATTAATAGGTGTTCACCGATCACAGACTCATGAGTTTGATAACACCCGGATGTAATAGCCTCGTGCCTTCTCACCTTGCCCAGGTCAAGTTGGGCGATCCTTACCTCCAACCGTTGGATGGTCTTGCCCACAGAGCCGATCTCACATCGACATATATATATAAATAAGTGATCCATGTGCGACTTTTGGTTAATAAGTGCGACATTACTGTAATTATTGAACAATATAGTTCATGCCACTTTGACAGTAAAATTTACCAGTAAAATAATTTGTTCATTACCATATTCGGTATAAACGCAAACATTTTAAAAAAAGAAATTCAAAAATCAAACTCAGCGTTGCTTTGGTGCGTTCAAAAACCAATAACTCATTTTCAATAGCATTTCGGATACAATACACATATATTTTCGATGTCCTCTTATTACTAAGAGAAAAAAACAAGAACAACATCTATTATATACCTGAAGATGTCTGTACGAACAGACGAAAGCTTGTGTAAAAACAACAACTAATACGGCAGAAATTTATATGAACAAGGATCAATTCATTCATAACGGATCTAAGGTTTTTGTGTAATATTTGAATAGTTTGCGAGATGGATGTCTCGCCATTTAAAATCATTAACCTTTGCATTAGTTTTGTGTGAATAATTCATATATATATATATATATATATATATATATATTGATATATAACTAAATATTGTTGACTGGTAGGCAAGACATCCTTACCATAAGATGGGGGAAGCTTTTTTGATAGTAAAAATACTCTGGACCACAACGGCATTAAAAAACTGTTTAATGGAATTAGCAATTCTGTCTGGATAATTTTGACTCCCAGGACCGACCCACGGGAGCCTAACATAAACAGGACACTTCGAGGGACCTATATCTCTTAAACTCATTGAACAATGATCTTTTGTTCAATGGTAGATATCAAAACACATTCAGGGTAACTCTTCATTAATAAAAGCTGTTTAATTTTCTTTAGCTCGACGTTGAATCTACATTCAGAATACAACATCACAGTACAATGAGTTAGGGTACTAATAAGATTAATTTTCCTGGAACTGGGTACAAATTAATCTCAAGTGAAGTAAAGCCCAGAAAAAGTGGTAAGAAAGCCGAAAGGTGTTCTTTCTACCAATACATCCAAGAAAGGGAGCTGATTAATTTCTTCTATCTCCGTCGTATATTTATAGGATGGAGATTAAGGTGAGAGAAAAACTTTTCCGCTTTACTCAAAAAGGAAAAAGACGTAAAAGTCTCATCCAGATAGTGGAAGTAGTAATAAGCCTTATTAATCTTATCAGAGTTGCTTCTCATGAAAGCCAATAAAAATTTTGGCCAATAGAGGACCGAAAGGACTACCCATTGCTACTCCATCTATCTGTTTATACATTCTGTTGTCAAAACTAAAGGAGACAGACTTCGTAGCCGTCTCAATCAATTCAACAAATACACTCTCAGGAAAACGTAAAGTCTTTATCTGGACCCGATACAAAAAGTCCACATAAATTTTTATTGTTTCGTCTAGTGGAACATTCGTGAACAGACTAGTTATATCAAAGGATACGAAAATTTCAGCCTCAGAATTTAGTTTCTATTTGCGCATATAATTAAACTGAAACGAATCCGGCACACAATATTCTGAATGGAATAATAAACCAGTCACTTAGAAGAACCATATTTCTTAACCCCATTCTACTTAACGACCCTTTTACACAATGGTCGATGTCACAACACATTCGGGTAACCATTCATTAATAACATTATAACGGCTCAGGGATTATAGAAATTGCCCAAATGATTATCGCACCGTCTAATTCATTAGACAGTTTCAAGCATTGGGATTCTCCTATTGCAAATGTTGTGGAATTTTTAGGTGGTTAGACATATTTCTAATCCCTAAACGACCACCATATTATGTTTTCAATTTATCTTAATCAGCTTCAATAAGCGTTTGAATTATTTTCCGAGGAATTTTGCAAAAGAGAGGTATATATCCCATTTGTATTCTCGACAATTAACCCTTATGGAGATGTTTTCTTAGTGATGTAGGTTCATTTGTTATGGAGTGGGAATATGTCCGGCGTAATTATTAACTTACACACACAGTAAACTATTTTCTATTTCAATTAAAACTATATTTTCTTAATCGATGTTATGGTCAGAAATTACAGTGAACGGCTGTAGCATTTAAACAATTTATTAAAGCATGAATATACAGAATGTGCACTAATTTCCGAGTCCTCTACTGTAAATGCACGTCCTGGATCATACTGCCTATCGGTCTTATTAAAAAGAAAATGAAGAACACGGTACATAAATGAAAAAGAAAAATATTATTTCTTGTCCTTGCTCTCTCCTCACCACTTCGTTTTAATATATATGTATGTATTATGTGAATATATACACTTTAATGTTTGTTTTAAAGCCATAATAAAACCTTGTAGCTGACACAGTTTTTTTAATTATTTAGGCTTAAGAAGTCCTTTCGCAATATAAAACACATCACACCGGATTTTTTCAATTTCTCCAGAGAATTAAACACACACACATGCACACACATACGCCCTTGTACAAATTAATTGAAACAAAACGAATAACTCCGTTATTCTTTTTGTCGTATTTTCCCAAAGAAATATGACCCTGCGCACATTTTAATACTTCATATGTCCATTCCACGAAGTCGTTCCTTGCAGATTGATCACAGATTCTCGATTGGATTTAAATCAGGAGAGTTTCCGGACCAGTCTATATTACTTTTATTTGCTCACTTGTAAGGCTTGCCAGTGTGTTCGTGTAGCGTTACAATTTTCGTACGCTTTCTTGGATTAACGTCCAATGCAGACAATGGCTGTAGGACAACTAATCGACAGTCGAGACAATAGTGTTTGGGCGGGATGAAAATCTGATGCAATCACGGATTACGCAATATTTTTCAAGGCCAAACAAATTTCATCATACACCCAGAATATAGATTCATATTACTGCACAGCACTACAAATGATCTAATATAAATAAAAATAGAATTCGATTACACACTGTCACTCCAGTGGATCTAAAACTGACCGTATGATGAAAGAAAGGAAATTAAGGAAAGGGTATATATACACATACACTATGTCATCTTTTAAGTCTAATCTTCTAGAATATATCCTTATTAAAAGTATTGATAACTTGTTTAATCTTTATTTAGTATCTTGGGCTGTTTGAACATCTCTATTTTTTTCCCTTAAAATGCCATATTAGCAAGGAAAATTTTCATAATAATTACCTTTCGGAATTTCACTATCAAGATACTAGAATGAATATGTGTTTTTAGTTTGTGTGGATTACAAGCATGTGATCATAAAGTAAAGCTTTTAGCAGGTCAAATGTTCGTGATTAGTCAAGTAGATATTTAATAATCTGTCAGAAAAGAAACTTTACTGATCTGACTCGTATTTTTATCACTTACAAACACATGACCATAAAAAATTTGTAATGTCAAATTTTTAGCCAAGTAGTTTTCTGAATTCTTTTGTCAAGTATCTACAAAGAGTTTTGTTCTTAAAATAATATA